TACAAAGAAATATTGGATAAAATGCTCAAACTAATTTTTAAATCACTATATATATATATATATATATATATATTACTACCAGAAACTAACAGTTTTAACTCTGAATTTAGAAACAACTGCTTCGGCGCATTCAGTGTGTTGGGATATGAGAAACTGCCCTTTTAACGTTTATCCTACTTCCTAGATGTCTTTATTTTCATATCTAAAGTTAATTTTGGAAAGTATTTTTGTTTTTTTATCTAAACGTTTGTTTGTTGTTAAGCACAAAGCTATATATTGAGCTATCTGCGAAACCCAATGCTTGGAGTTATACTGCTGAACCACCAGGAAAGTTGCTCTCGATGTACTAAGACGTTATGTTTATCAAAAGTATTTTCAGTGTACATGTATATCTAAATCATACCTTGCACTTATATTTGCTGGACATTAATCAGATATATGAATATGAAGTAGTAGTCTTTGCTCTATAAAAGGCTAAAAAGTTGAAATTGGGAATTTAATATAAAGGAATACAAAAGTATACACTTTGGAAGCCTAGGTTTCAATTTGTAGTTCAGTAAAATTACTTAAAATGAGAACTTAGAGTAAAGAAGTATAAGTGTCGGAAGCCTAAATCTCAATTACTCTTCTTTCATACTTTAATTTCTTGAATAATTTAATCGATAACTTGTGTGTGCTGTTTCGGTGAATTAATTTCAGACTTTCGTTGGATAAGAACATAGATTCGAAGGTCTTGATAGAGGAGATTAATCTGATTAAATTTTGTTTATGGTCCAAATAAACTTTGTTACTCTGTTGTTGTTTTTATCACTTTTCTTTTATTCAGAGTTTGGAAGGGTTGGCTGAAAGGCCTTTTTTATACAATGATTCCTTCTATGGGCTCATTCTGTAAGGGTTTTGGTGATTTTGTTTGTGAGAATAAAACTAAAAGCTGATGACGGAAGTGATATTGCTAAATTAAGAAAACATGGAAATGCCTGGGTTGCAATTTCTGAAAGAGAGACAGAAATTGTCATTTTAATTCCCGCCTAATTAGGCTGTTAATACTGTTAATAAGAACAGACAAATGGCAGCATGATTTTCTAAATTAAGGGAGATATATCGAGTTCCTCTATCTTCATCATTTGAAGATGAATAATTTCCTGAGGTAGAGAGTAGTTTGGATAAATGATAATAAAGAAAAAATTAACACGTCTAAATGAAAACCTTTTTAGTTATTTTAAGCGACGTTTCGAGTAGACGCCCTTCGTCAGGCACTAATAACCATGTTACAATGGAATTAGGCTCAGTGAGGATTGCTTTCTCAAGATTGTTAAGATAATTGATAGTGTTGATGCATCATCTTTTCTCATACTTAATGGTGAGAACGGTGGGAATAGGGGGACACAAGTAAAAATGTTGGCAGGGCAGGAGCCACCTTCAGCTAAGACAGTTTTATTCTTCTAACTGGGTGGTTGGCCTTTGGAACGGGTTACCTTCGGATGTTGTGGAAGCAGTAAATATAAGTTAGTTTAAGAGAAAGCTTGATAATTATGTTAATGATAAGGGCTGGTATGGAGTTTTATTCATTTTTGTATTTACTAGTTTTAGTTTAGTTTAGAGGATGGCACAGCCTAGATTAGTGTTTCTCAACCTTTTACGCCTTCAGCAAACAATGAGCGCCCTTGCCTCCTTTTAATAAATGTTAGTACAAGCACCGAAAGTAGCACCAAAAGATATATGCTCAACGAATGGACTAGAAACGTTGGGGTGGCGTTGCTTTCCGCAGACACATCCACATAATGATTTTTGCTCAAACGTGTTGAAAGAAAAAACCCTATTTATTATGGTTTAATTTTAAGAAATATAGCTTTGAAACGCTCAAAACTTTTCTGTCCACGCCCTGCCGGCCCCCTCAAAGTTTAATGCCACCTGAATTTTAAAAACGCCTACTAAGGGGCGGTACCGCCTAGGTTGGGAAACACTGGCCTAGATGGACCAATAGTTCCCTTGTTGTCCCTAAATATTATGTTATGTTACGTTGGCGTATGAAGGATTTGATTAGGGAAGATGCAGTTTTAGACCTTGATCTTAATACTTAGAAAGATAAGTTTAGAAATTTAACTGAGACAGGACACTTGAGTACCAGCAATCGTAACATTATTTGTTACCTATGACGTATTCATTAAAATCAGTTGTAGAATTAGTTAATAGGAATCGTGTCACAAGTTTGAAAATATAAACCAACTGTCTAAGATAATTTTCTCATCACTTTCACTATATTATTAGTACACAAAAGGTGACCCGTGAATAACCAGATCATCCAATTATTTTTATCATTCACTCAACACAATCTATGCCCTAAGCACCATTCGTTCATATTTGAATTTAAATACTTTTTAGTCTGATTGTCGGCTACCTTGGTAATTTTTTGCCTTTTTGTTTTCTGTCAGGTTTTTACTGTGTGTATTGAGGCACTGGATTATTTATAGTAGCTGTCTGTGACTTGCTGGCGATAAATTGAACAATAAACAAACAGCACACAGTCCACTTGTTTTAAAATATTATATTAAAACAACTCAAACGTATATACAAATGTTCGTTACATAATTAATCACCACAGTTGTATCCGGTGCTTTAAGTAATCGTCTCTTTTCGTCAAACTCCACACAGTCTGATTCGGTTACTTTATAACACAATTGACAAGACGAATTATTTATTGTATACTCTTTTATTACAATACAATATATAATAATTTCACTTTAGAAATCGCCACTATACGCCCTTTATAGCTAAACTCACAACCACGCAGTCTAAACCTAGCTCTCTATCTAACTAACTTTGTCTTACTAGCTCGAACTACATTTTATATGCATATTTATAGCCTGACTAAGGCCTCGAACGTTCTACACATTATGAGATATTATGATGCAATAATAATCCATTAAAATAATAATAAAACTTAGAAAGCTCTAGTAACATGGCGCAATAATACAACAAGTGCCAATTCACAACAGTTGAGCTACACAACCTATTATTCATACACAGTTGCGTAAACAAACCTGCTTCTACAGACAACTAAATGTAACACTTGCATTGAACTTAAATTGAAATAGTCATATATATATATATCTAACGTTTTCATGGTACAGTTGGAGATGATGAGCCCCTGACAACGTTTGAAGCCATCAGTCAGTTGGAATACAATATGTTGTCTGTTGTACTTTAGAACAATTTTGTTAAATAAGCTTTTCTTTTCTTCTGGGTGGTTAGAGTGCTTGACTCACAATCTGTCGGTCGATGGATCGCATTGCATCGCCAAACATGTTCCCCCTTTCTGCCGTTGGGGCGTTATAATGTGACAACCAATCCTAATATTCATTTGTACAGAGTAGGCCAATAATTGACGGTGGGTGGTATTGACTAGACGTTTTTTTTTCTAGTCTACCACCTCAAAATTAGGGAGGCTAGCGCAGAATACATTCAACAAACAAACTCTCTGTCCCTCGCCAGCTGTTAACGACAACAGTTTCTGTTTAAACGAATTCTCTTTCTTCTCTTGATAGATTCCAGATTTTTAACAGTAACACCTTTGTTGGACAGACACTGTTATAATTTCTCTTTGAAAGTTATATAAATTGTTGCTCTTAGCAGTTCTCACGTAGATTAACCATAAATAATATCACTACAAATCTGCATTTGTAGGTTTTAAGGAATCTCCTAACACATGACATTATACTTCATTCCGCATATTTTAGTGAGCATATGACAGTTGTAATAGAGTGATCTGTCAGTAGAGAATATTTACATGATTTTATCACAAAGTGATCGAGTTACATCTCCACATTATTGCTTACAAGCAAAGGTACCCGTCCCCAGTGACAGTAAAAGTTTAAGTTAATCTATCAATTATTATTTCATGGACTTTAAAAAGGTTAATTGTGTTGCACTCTTCGTTTCACTCAATATCAAAGTTCTGAGCTACTTATACTGCCCACTGCAAAAAGTAATTGTTGAGGATTTCAGTCATGCTAAGAACCGCTCAACAATAACATACGGTAAATCTACACTTTTATTCTTTAAGTTATGCCATCAACATTGTTCATGCTTGTTCTCCCGTAATTTCAAAAGTGGATGTTGAATTTTATCTGCGTGCACAGCTTTTCAAACGGAAGACAGACACCCCTGTTCTCAATATATAATCACTTTATAATAAGATCCAAGTAAGATGTATAATGATTTTTGTGGTTAAAGGAAAACTAAACGAGAATGCATTTAAAGCTTATTAGGTGAAGTTGTTAATATAAATCGTAATTGTTTTCCCCTATTTAAACAGATGAGGTCATGTTAATTATTACAGAGTATTTAGTTATTGTTCAGTTACTTTCAACGTTTTAAAACTAATTACATTAAACTAGAAGGAAGAACAATGTAAAAATTGAAGTGTTGCACGACATTCAACACTAAACTTTAGATATACAGAGATACTACATATAGCGACAGGTCAATAAGTCACATTACTTCTGAACACTATCATTATCCAAGTTAAAATATTACACGGGTATACTCAATACCATTTGACGTTAAAACATCAAATTGTGGTGGTTGGTGTCCTACTTGTTTTGTTAACTACGATTTACTACATATCTCGAGCTTATTTGTTGTTATTCATAAATCTACACAATGTGCTACCTGTATCGAAACCCTATTTTTAGTGTCATAAGCCTTTGGACTTACATTCCGAAGGGAAAGGCAGATGTTTTTGATGTTTTTCAACGCAAAGTTACATACACAATAGATTATCTGCGCAGAAAATCCAATCCCAGATTTCGAAGTTCTAAGTTTGTAAACTCACCTCTGAAATTACAGTTTTATTGTATTTTGTTCTAATAACATATGCTCGATTTTATTTTAGGTAATAACCTAATTTTATAACATTAACTAAACATTTTATATCTTAAGTTATGTGTTGAGGAGAAAATAAACAGATTCTCATCTTTTTTTAAATTATTTTTTTACAGGCATGTAAAGGATGCACTGTTAATTCCTGTATATGCCCTGGTGAAAAAGGACTTTTGGTGAGATTTTATTGTTTATATCAAAATATTTCTACAAAGTCAAATCACACTAAACTCAAATTTAAAACATTTCTATTTATAATGTGTTACGATGTTTTTGTGTCTTTATTGATTATCCACCTAAAGCTGTCAAGTACAGGAGTACCTTAGTACTATACAAAGTTTATATATTATAGGTAATCCCAGTAGAATGACAGAATAGTGTTGATTTTTCCTTATTATTGTAGGGCATACCAGGAATCCCTGGAATGCCAGGCTTTCCAGGTGAGCACGGTCCTATGGGTCCAGTGGGACCACCAGGCGTGAAAGGATCTCGAGGAAGTTTGGGATTTTCAGGAGATATAGGTCCAAAAGGAATTCGAGTATGTATTTTTCATAATAATTTTTGTCTGATAATCAATTTATTGCAGTTGGTTGATTCTAGGTATGTAAACTCATAAGCTTGTGACTGCCAACATTCCTAACTAAGCATGACGTAATAGCTAGCTTTCTGAACTGTGAATTTGAAGGTTTTGTTTGTTTGTTGTTTTTTTTAATTTCGCGCAAAG